AATAGGAGAACGCTATTGGCTGTCCGTCGACATAATCCAAAGAACTGCCGATCACGCTACTTGCTATCCAGACTCAGAGTGAAACACAGAGAGAGAAAGAAATTCATTTTTATGCAATGGGAGAAAAAGATTCTACAATTCGTGCCAATAAAAATAAACAAATTTAAATGATTTAAAGTAAAGATTCGATTAGGTCCGAAATTCTCCTTTTAAGCATTTCTTAAAAAAAAGAATACTAATTTTTTTTAGTTGGTACCTGCAAAACAAAGCTATAGTAAAAACTAATACCCTAAAAAGAAAGGTAGGGTAGTTACCACAACGATGTGGAGTAGTCCGCTTTATCGCCAAAAAATTGCATAACCTCCCAGCCGAGTCGCCAACTTGTGAACCCCTCCCCTGAAAAACATAGGCATGTAATGCATATACTCAAGTGGCAAACCATGCACGTAAAATATGGGTCACCTTGTTAATTATTTTAGGTAAACAGGAAAAACCCTAAGTGTACTCCAAATTTATAACCTACATACTAGATTAATTATCCCCAATGTTTAAGCATGAATCTGCCGAACCGACGTGGATTCCCGAGACCCATGTCATGCTGATGAACAACCAATGAAATGAATGCTTTGGCAAGGAAAGGCGCAATTGAACCCAAAATAAAAAGTGGTTAAGAAATTTCGACTTGCCTCGGCGTTAAATTCAGCCGAAGTGCCCTATGTACTTCCGTTTTGAATGGGAAGATCAAAGTCAACGTAGTTCGAGTTAAGGCCTTTTTTAAAAAGGGCTTTGAGATGGGTATGCTATGCATGAGTGTTGTATGTAGGCATTTTGGGTTAGCTTTGCCAAAGAATTGATTGATTTGATTTAGGCCATTTGTTGAAAATTGTTGATTTAAGCTTTAAGCCAAAGATTGATTCTAGGCCAATTTATTGCCAAAAGAGTTGATGTGTTTTTAGCCGATTGCGCCAAAATTGATTATTTGAAGCTTTTAGCCCAAGAATGAATTGATTAGGCAATTTTATTGCCAAAATTGAATGGCGATTGTCGCCAAAATTGGATGATTAAGGCAATTATTTGCCCAAATGATTATATGAAGGGCTTTTAGCCAAAATGTTTGATTTAAGCAATTGTCGCTAAAAAATGGTTAAATCCTTTACTTATTAGGCAATTTGTTTGCCCCAAAAGTAATTCAATTGAATTGCAATATAGCCCAAAAGTTTAAATTTGGGCCCAAAAAATGTGTTAATTAAAGGCTACATTAGTATCAATTATTGATTAATTGACTTAAGCCCGGACGGTACGAAAATAAACACTTAGGCATAGTTATCAATTAACTAGGCTTTGAGCCAAATTTCAAGATTGAGGCCCTTTAACCACCACCGATATTATTAACGGATTTAAGTCCCTTAATCGTATTTAATTAAGCAGTCTTATTGCCAAATGATAATGGAATGCAGTGTAGAATGAGAGTAAGTAGAAGAGAAATATGCATGAAATGTCGAAATTAATAGACAGGTTTAGTTATGTACCTT